ACCTCAGAAGTGATAAACAGTGTGTATGGAAAATAATGGTGTGGATATTAAAAAAAAAAAAAAACTGGAATAAAAAATTAAAAAATTAAAAAAAAAATTAAAAAAAAAAAAAAAAGATATTTTTCCAATCATGATGATTGGTGATTTGGGAAAATAAATAAAATATTTAACTATATATAAAACACCAAACCAAATATTTTTTTTTGCTATGGAAAGTGATGGGGATGGTGCTTTTTTATTTTGAAAATTATTTTTCAATAATTTTTTTTTTTTAGTGTTCATTTTTTATTTTTTTTTATTATTTTTTTTTTCATATAAACCATTACTTGCCCAATTTCGCCCATTATTCATTTTGCTATAAACATAAAAACCTAATTATTATCATTTTATTGAGCAGTAGAGTTTTTTTTAAACAAACGAGATTTTATTAGTTTTTTTTTTTATTGAAAAAAACTTGTTTTTCTTTATTTTTTTTTTTTTATATTATTTTTTTTTTCTTAAATATAAATTCCTTAAATTTTATCGTTTGTTATTTCCTAATATCTTTTTTTTTATTTTCTTTTTTTTTTTTTTTTTTTTTAATAAAACAATTACTATAATTTTTTTTTTTTAAATATTAATATTTAATTGTATTATAAAAAATTTATAATTTTTATATCTAACAATCACATTACCACCATATTATTATTATTATAATATTATTTTGTATTTAAAATTTTTATATCTAACAATCAAACACTTTATTTTTATCCTTATATATATTGAATTTAAAAAAACACACACCCAACAAACAAATAGATTTTTTTTAAAAAAAAATACCCACACACTCACTTCAAACACAAAAACATATTTTTTTATAAATTAAATAAAATACACATAAATATACTAATTAAACAATGGCAAAAGATGATAAAAAATGTATGTATACAAATATAAAAATCTGTAATAATAAAAATAATAATAACAAAAATAACAACAACAAATAAAAACTTGTATTGAAAAAAAAAAAAAAATAAGTAGATAAATAATTAAATTTAATTACTATTACCTGTTGCTATTTTATACTTTGACATATTTAAAATATTATTTTTTTATTTAAAAAAAAAAGATTTTATATCATCGCTTAACCTTTTTTTTTAATTATTTATATTCACATTTTTTTTTTATTTTTTATTTTTTTTATTGAAAAAATATTTTATATTTGTTACTTAAATTAAATTAAAGTTATTTGTTTATTAGTTTGTTTATTTATTTGTGTTCTATTTTATTTTTTTATTTTTTAATTATCTGTTGTTATCTTTTGTTTATTTTCATCATCAAAAACATCATCAATAATCTATAAAATTTTATTTGTATTAAACAATAGTTTTAAATTATAAATATCCAATATAATACTATTGTTAAAATCATAATCATAATCATAATCATAATCAAAATAATATTATCATTATTATTATTAGTTTTGTGTATTCTATTTTTATTGTTGTTTTTTTATTTTTAAAAAAGTATTTACATTTTTTACAAATAAAATAAAATAAATAATTATAATAGATAGTATCATATATGCATGTCCATAATTTTAATTATTAAAATTTAGTATAACTTATAACAAAATTAAAAAACTATATATTAAATTATTTTATTAAATAATATAATATTTTTTTTTTTTATTTTTATTTTTTTTTTCTTTTTCCTCTTTTTTTTTTTTTTTCTCCTACTATAATTATTTATTTGTTTATAAGCAACACTTATTTTTTAAAAAAAAGACAGTTAAATAAATAAAATTAAATTAAATCAAATCAAATAAATTATATTTATATTAATTTTTTTTTTTCGCACAAAATAATAAAATAAAATGACAATTTTTCAAATTAAAAAAAAAAAAGCAAATTCAAAACCACAAATCAGTGAATTAATGAAAAAGCTATTAGAGCCACAAGAGGTTGTAATTTCAAGATATAGAGACGGTGAAGGTATCCCAAGAATAGAGGAGTTCAAAGAAGCTGTTAGAAGAGGTTTCTTTTTAATTAAATTCCCAAATACATTTGGTGGTTCCGAGATTGGTGTTTCATTAAAAGGTTTACCAAAAGAATATACTTTAAATAATTTAACTAGTGAATGGTCCCCAGATGGTTCAACTGTTAAAATCCTTGGTAAAGTCGAATTTCAATCAATCCCAACAAGATTCAGAGCTCAATTTAGATTAAGCTCGCTTGAAGGTGTTGGTAATTTAGAGTTACTTTAATTTTTTTAAAAACTATAACCATTACCATACAAACACACACACCAATATCTTTTGATTTATTATCAAGAGTTTTTTATTTATATTACTCCTTTATTTTTAAAAACTTTTCATTTTCTACTTTTTTATAATTTTCAAAATGATAATAATAACTTTATCATTATATAACTGTCAATCAATCTATCAACAATCAATAACAAACATCCCCACCTGTAATTAATAGTAACCAAAAAAAAAAAAAAAACACTTTATATATATAATATAAACAGTAATAATAATAATAGTAATAATAATATATTTATAGTAACCATAAAATTGTTTTTTCTATATAATAAGTAACAATTAATAAATCGGAATTTGTTTTCAGGTTTAAATCTAAAAAAAAACAAACAAATAATAAAATAAATAAATATAATCTTTTTGATTATAAATTCTAAAATATATTTTTTTAATTTTAATTTTTTTTTTAATATATATTTTTATTTTTAAATATATTGGATTGTTTATTATTATTATTATTATTTGGTTTAGTTTAGTCTAATTTAATTTTATTTAAAATTAAACTATTTGTTAAACCTATTAAACTTCCTGTTAATAAATAAATTGGTTTTTTCTCTTTTATATATAAAATACCACCAAGTAAAGTTGCACCTATAACTCCGCTGATTATATATTGATTCTTTGTTGATGGTGTTGGTGTATCGGTGGGGGTTGTTTCTAAATTATCTTGGTCGGTTGGTGTATTTCTATTTGATTTTGGATAGTTTGAAATATTTAATAATTTTAATAAACTAAATCCGCCTGCTACAAATAATCCAAATTTACATCCAAATTTTAATAGTGATATAAATTGTTCCTTATTTGTAATGTCAATGACCGAGCCTTGAGTAAAATGATTGGTACTGATGGCGGTGTTGTTTAATAATCTATAGTACATAATTGAAAGAGTTGATGATGTTCCTAGTAAAATGGAGTTAATAGTAACAGATTTGAGGAGTGTTGATAATGTCTTTGGGTTTGATTCAGCAGTTTGCTTAGATTTATAAATACTATCATAATAAACTGTGGTATCTGATGTTGGTGTTGATGTTGATGTTGATGCTCTTGATAATGTTGGTGTTGTAGTTGAACCTTTATCAAATTTGTGAACTTTGGTGTTATCTTCTTGAATTGGTATAGTAATGCTATGATTATCAATATTATTATTTGAAGGTACTGGATATTTTTGATTTGCACCATCGATAGAATTATTTAGTGACGATGAAGAGGATGTTGGTTTATCATTATCGATGTATGTGTGTGTTGTAATGGTTTTACTGGTTATTGGTGGTGATTGTATTGATATGGATTGCTGTAAAGGTGGTGGGCTTTCAACACCATTCGAGAGATAGGTATGATGAGTTGTTGTGGTGCTTGTAACTATTGTGGTTGAGGCTAGTGAGGGTGTAAGAGGTGGTGTTTGTACAATTTCAGAAATACCTGCTTCGATTTTTCTAATTTTATTTTCTAATTTACGTAGTTGGGTGAATTGATCTCTATCGTCAATTAATAGTTGTGGTTGTTGAACAACTGGAGAATCAGTGGTAGTATTTGAAGAAACTATTTGATTTTCAATTTTCAATATCTTTTGTTGCATTTCACATAGTTTTAATTTTTGTTGATTCATTTCCTCCAAAAGTAACTGTTCATTGTTAAAGTTTTGGGTTTGAATGGCTTGCTTTTGGTCCTCGATATCTGAAAGTTTGTTTGTAATATCAGACTTTGTAAACTCCATTTCTTTTAAGATAAAATCCTTCAAACATTGAATGGTCTTTTTGCTATTGATTTTGCCCTTTTCAATTACCAATGATAAATCACTTCCTAGTTGAATGATTTCATTACGTTCATTATAAAGGATGCTTTTAATGGTTGCTGCTCTATCTTTAATATTGTTGAATGTTGAGGAGTCTATAGTTTCATCATCTTGGATAATATTATCTTGTGGTAATTGTTCAAACTGCTCTTCGCTTTTGCTGTTTGATAAAGTTGGTTTTTTATTTTGTAAATCAAAGTTAACTCTGCCTAATCTATCAATTTCCTTAGTTAATCTATCTACTTCGCCTTCGGTCCAACCTAGTCTTCTATTTACGACCTGTAATTGAATTTGGAATTGTGTGCATTTTAGTTCACTATTCTCCAATGCTTTAAAGGTACTTTCACAGGACAATAATAGATTTGCATGTTCATCAGACATTGTTTTTCTATAGTTTTCAGCTTGGTTTAGTTGTTCAGTAACTTGGCATAGTTGTTCAATTAAACTAAATCTCTCGGTTTCAGCATCTCTGATACTGATTTGTAACTCTTCACGTTCGTTTGTTAATTCATCAATAATATCTTTTAACTTTTCGACATTGTTCTGGCCCATTTCTCTAATCTCTAAAATGACTTGATTAAATTTATCAGAGATAAATTCACGTTCTTTTTGCATTTCTTCAATAGTTTCGAATAATGAATGGTTATCATTTCTCAACACTTCGATTTTACTTGATAATACACTTTCAATACCTTCTTTTTCTCCTACATCTGCCATTAATTCATCAATCTTTAATGATAGCTTGTCTCTTTCTTCTTCTACTTTTTTGATTTTATGTGATAAATTTAAAAGTTCTTCTGAATTATTTTGTTTATCATTTAATAACTCTAGATGTAACATTTCATTATGATGCTTCCATCTCATTAATCTCTTTTCTAATTGTTCAATTTGATTTCTATAAAATTCGATCTCTTTTTCCATTTCTAATTGATTGGTTCTAGGTGCATATGGTGGTTCTTGATTATTATAGTTATTATTATTTTGATTATTATTACTAGTATTTGAGGGTATAAATACTGAAGAAGAGGGTGAGGAAGAGGGTGAGTTGCTTATATTTAAAGGATATTGTTGATTTTGCTGTTGTTGCTGTTGCTGCAAAAATGAGGATGATATTAATGGTGTACCATTTATATTATTATTATGATTATTATTTAAAACTGGACTGTTACTAAAACTACTATTGCTATCTGAATTAATTTTAGAAATAACTGCTTTTGATAGTTGTGATGCCATCTCTAATAAGTGTTCAGTAATATCTTTTAATTCAGAGTCTCTATTCATTTTTTCTGTTTTTTCTTTTTCAATCTGTTGTTTCTAAATTTGTTAAAAAAAAGTTTGTCAATATAAAGTTTATATTTGTTTATAAAATAGTTTGAATAGACTTACCAAGTGAACAAATTCAGTTAATAATGAGTTGATCTTAATTTTAGATTTGCCACTCTTTATTATACCTAATTTGTTATTGTTGTTACTGCTATTGCTTGATGCTTCATTCTTATTGTTAGATTTCTTTAGTGAGTCTTCAATTTCAATGATTTTGTTCTCCAGTTGAATTAAAGTTGATGATACCTCCTCCAATTCACTTTTAATAACAATTTGTTGTTGTGGTTGTGATATGTCATCGCTTGGGGCAGCAATTTCTATAAAATATTGCGATACGTCTTCAATTGTTTTCTTTAAATCTACCTTGGCCTGATTAAAATATTCTCTTAATTTAACTCTTTCCATTTCTACTTTGCCTCTGGCTTCCATTAACGAGTGCTCTAATGATTCTCTATTACGTATGATGTGTTGAATTTCTTCATTGTCAATATCGCTACCACTAAAATTAATTTCGATTTCCTCATCATCATCATCATCATGGCTGGAAATATCTTCTTCACTTTCTTGTTCAATATTTTTATTTTCTTCTTTAAGGTTATCGCTTGTTGCTGTTGTTGTGGTAGCAGTGGTTGCTACTGTTGTTGTAGGTGTTATTTCGTTATCTGTATCTCCAATTTCGCTTCGTCTTGTTAATGTTGGTGATGGTTGTTGGTATTTTGATACATATTTATTTTGAGGTCTTTGAGCCCATTGTCTTAATAGTGGTGATGAGGTAGGTGATGATGTTGATTGTTGTGGTGATTCTAAATTTACATTGGTTAATGGTGATTGTGGTGGTGTTTTTTGATTTATTATTACATTGTTATTATCATTATCATTACCATTATTATTATCGGATGATTTACTAAAATCTATAAATAAACTTTCTTGCTCTACATCAGAGTGTTCTTCAACGCTATTAAATACCTCTTCATCCTCTTCTTCATCTTCTTCTTCTTCATCCTCTTCTTCATCATCATCATACTCGTAGTCTTTGTTTGGTGAGGATTTTTTTGGCTCTTGTTCGCTGGTATCACTTTCGCTGCTATTATGTGGGTAATATCTAAAATTTGTTGATTCCTTTTTCTTTGAAGTTCTTGTTGAGATTTCTTTGTCGTAGTCGTCATATTCATCAAGTTCAGTCTTTTGTTGATTTTCATACGAGTTTTGTTGAAAATATTCACCTTCTTGATCATCATCGCTAACCTTCTTTATTATTACATCGTCATCTTCATCGTCGTCATCATCTTCATCATCATCTTCATCGCCTTGGTCATAGTCATTTTCATCATCATATTCGTAAATTTCATCATCATCGTCGTCCATATAGCCTCGTTGGTCCATATGGTTGTAGTAGGAATCTTGGGATAGTTCTGTGGGGTGTTTATTAAAGTGATAGATTTTTTGAATTGTGTCAAATTGAACTTTAGGTTCGTCTGGTAGACCACTAGCTAATAAATTTGTACCAAATTTCTCTCTGTCATATAGTTCTTGTTTCATTGGTGAGTCTTCAACCCAATATTCTGTTATTTTAGCTTCCTCTTCATCACTGTCATCATCTAAATCCTCGTCCTCTGTTGTAATAATTGCAGTAACTTTTGAATCTTGTTGTTGTTGGATTTTCTCTTCATCATCTTTTTTCTTTATCTCTTCATTTTCCTTTATAATTATTTCATTTTTATTATTTATAACATTATTACTATTGCTTTTATTTTTATTGTTTTTATTTTTATGATGGTTTTTTTTACCCCCCATAGTATTGATTATTGGTTTATATAGTATAGTATTTATCTATTTTTAATATTACTATAATTATTAATGTATATATTATTATTAATTGTTTAGTTTTGTTTTTGTTTTTGTTTTTGTTTTTTTTTTTAAAAAACTTAATTTTATTTATAATTAATTTATTTTAAAATTATAACTTGTTTTGTGTTGTTTATGGTGAGGGAGAATATAAACAATAACAATAAAACAAGATTTATAGAATTATATTGATATTACAATTTTAATTTATAAAATATAAAAAATAGAGTATATCAATATGTTATTTATAAATATATTGGTATTAATTATATAATATATTATTTTTTGTATATAAGTACAAATTATAAAAAAAAAAAATAAAAATTAAGATAATTTTATTTTATTTTATTTTTTTTTCAAATTATTTTTTTTTAATTTTTTAATTAAAGTGTGGTGTGTGTGTATGTGTGTGTGTTTTTGTTTGTATGTTGAGTGAGTGAAAATAACAATTGAGATACTGTTTTATTATTATAATATGTTGTAGCACCCCTAAATAGTAATTAAAATTCGTCTAAAAAATACATAAAGAATGTGGGTGAAGGGAAATTAAAGTTTGAATAATGAATAAGTATATATGTTTGAAACCCAATTAAATAAAATAACTATTAAATAAAATATAATTTAATTTAAAAATAATAAAATAAAATAAAATAAAAAAAGAAAAAAAAAAATAAAAATAAAAATCTTTTTTTTTTTTTTTTTACATTTATAAAAAATAAAAAAAAAAAATAAAAAAATAAAAAAACTGAATGTTTTTTTTTTTTCAAATAATTTATTTTAACAAGTTTAAATTGATCACAACCATGTTTGCGTTATAATTTTATTTTGTCAATTTAAAATTTCTCCATGAAATAAAAAAATGAATCAGAAAAAGTTTAGTGTTTGTTCACATTATAAAATTATAAACAAATAAACAAATAAACAAATAAACAAATAAACAAATGAATAAATAAATAAACCAATATTTTAGAATGAGAAACATTGTTTTTTTTAAGATTACTATTTTTAGTTATTTTCAGTTTTCGTATTACTTTGTGAGAGAGTGTGTAGGTGTGTGATTAGAGTTTTTTTTTTTTTTGATTTTTTGGAATAAATAGGTTTTTTATTTTTTATTTTTAGTTTTTAATTTATTTATAATGTTGAAGAACTGTTTAATGTTGGAATAACATTTTCAAATAGATATGAACATTTATTATATAATGAACCATGTTTAAAACCTATTTGAATTAATACCCAACCACTACCATATGGATAAGTTACAACAGAGACAATGGAGATAATTAATAGATAGAATGAAAGGAATTTTTTCATTGAACCTTGCATTCTGTGTGGTTTCTTACAAATTCTAAATAATCTGAAACGATCGACATAATACTCTACTATATTACAAGCTACGCCAAATACTGCTACAATTGGATAGATTGGTATACCCAAATAAACGATAAATTGTCTGTAAAGAATTTCTAAATACTCTTCTGATAAATCAAATTCTGGTTTATAGTAATCGCTTGATCTTTTACCTGATTGTTCTCTTCTTTTTCCGATTGCTGCAAAAATAAGTGAATATATAATTTCCCATAAATTTGATAACTAAATAATGAAAAAAAAAAAGGTAATAGTTTTTAATTAGTATATTTGATATATATATATATGTTGATTGGATATTCATAAAATTATAATTACAGTTAAATCTAAAACTAAAATTAATAAAAATTGAGAACCAGCATCTACTAATGGACAACCTTCTAAAATTGCAATATGAGTAATCTTTTCAAAGATTTGATCTCTTAAAATATAAAGAATAATAACATTGACAACTTTGAAAACAAAAAGCTTTAAAGTATTGTGGATCTTAAAGAGGGTCCATGTTGAATGACGTTCGAATCTTGTTAAATAGATGGAAATTTGGTCGTAAATTACATTGATGATTCTGATGATGGCGGCTGAGATGAATGAGGTGACAAGTGAGAGAGATAAAAAGTTGTTTTCTTTGTAAGAGTTGATTAATTTTAAAACCAATGCGCACAATACAGTCGATATACAAAGTAGGATGATGAAAATCGAATAACTAATGACACGTCTAATGATACGTTTTTTTCCAGAGAGATTAACATTCTTTAAAATGATATCATCAGAATCAAAACCGTCTTCAAAGTCTACCTTGTTGTTTTTTTGGAAATATTTGTTTACTTTGAGGGCATAGATTGGACCTACGGCAAACGATAAAAGTACACAGGCAAAAGTTGACCAGAAATAGTATAGTTTGGCCTCACTTTGATAGTAGGATTGAAGATTTGGTGCAATCAATATATAGTCTTGAATGGTGAAACCACTGAAATCGTCCTTTCTCGAGCCATAATAAAAGTGTGGCACAAGATTGATCAATACAAAGACCAATAGTATGACGTTGACTATGATACAAAATGTGATGAAGTTAAAGTATAAATAGATACCAGTACCATACACCCTCTCAACCTCTGCGTTTGAGCATGCGATCGGTAATGCTTGCTTTGAATGTTCGTTTGCCGCTAAATAATCCTCGTTATCTTGATGTGCATATGCTACTGATATAAGAAATGGTTGTCCTGATTTAGTATATGAAACCACAAAACCCTCTGGTACTTTTGCTTTCTTTGATCTTACATTTGCACCAAACATATTTTCTAAAAATTTATCTTTTATTGCCAAGTCTTCGTAATCTTGTGCATCTGGTGATGGTTTTAAAAAAAGATATTGTGAATCATATAGATCTTGTTGTTGCTGTAATTGTTGCGGATTATGTTGTATTTGTTGTTGTTGCTGCTGTTGTGGTTGGAATGTTTGGTTTATATTTATTTGCGATTGTTGCTCTTGATGCAGATTTGGAAAATATGGTGATTGTGGTGCTGATGAATCATCCTGTTGCATATAATATTCCATTGGAACACCATCATCATTACCCTTTGTCATTTTTTTATTTATTTTGTATTGTTACTATTATTACTATTATTTAAACTGTTTTATTTAGTTATTCTATGATACATGTATATTTAAAAAAAAAAAAAAAAAAAAAAAATTTTAATTTTTATTGTAATATCTATTTATTAATAAATTATATTAATTTAAAATTCAATAAAATAATAATTAAAATAATAATTTAATTGTTATTTTTTATTTGTTTTTATTTATTTGTTCAGTTGATTTATATTATTTTTTTTTTTTTTTTTTTTTAAATAAAACAAAAATTAAAATTTTTTTATTTTATTAAAATTTTTGTGTGAAAGTGGCGGTATTGTGGGGGTGTGTGTTTTTGTGTATGTCTTGTTGTGAGTGATTTATTATTTTTTACAACAATAGTATTAAAAAATGAAAGTGTAGCCCTTTATCTTTTATATCCAATAAATGATAAAAAAAAAAAAAAAATACTCTCAGAAGTAAAAATAAAAAAAAAAAAAAAAAACTTTAAAAAAAAAAAATAAAAATCTAAAATTAAGTTTTTTTTAATGCGATTTGAAGGTTTTTTTTTTAATTTTTTTTTTTTAATTTTTAAATAATTATTTATTTGTATCATTTACGTTGCAAAAAAACATAACTTATTTTTGGTGATTGTATTTATTTTTTCTTAAATTACAAAAAAAAAATTAAAAAAGTAAAATAGACCAAAAAAAAAAAAAAAAAAAAAAAAAAAAAAAACACAAAAGGATAACCACCCTTTTTCTTTTTTTATTATTTTTAACTAAATCTTAAGATTGATTAAAATTGTTTAATATTTAAATCTTTTGTTTTCTAGTTTAATTAAATTTAAAGAGGCTCCATCTAGAATACCAGATAGAGGTATATTCAAATCTGGACCCATTCCTTTATGTGGAAATACAGTTTCCATTTAAATAATTAATTCAGCTTGGTTCACTATTATTATTATTATTATTAAAGGTTTTGAATTGGGAATTAGAGGTTTATTGAGGATGTGTCATTGTTTGGTAATAATGGTGGTGGTACTGATAGGCAAAAATAATAACTCGAACCTACAGAGGACTTATCACCATAACTATCAATTAACAATACTGATTCTACACCTTGTTTTAACCACTCTATGGATTTCTTTTTACAGAATAATAATGAATCGGTGGGACTCTCATTTCTATAACAAAGTTTGGCAGTGCGCTGTAGAGACTGTAGGTTTTACTATAGTGCATCAAAGATGAAATAGTAGTCTGGACGTCTAATATAACCATTAGATAGCATGAATTTGGTATACCCACAACTGCCCTGGCCCAGTTCTTTTCTTTTGGGTGAAGATTGGATAAAGCCATCAATTTGCATAGATAACTGATAAGTTTGATTACCTACACCAAACGATACATTTCTAACATATATATGAGTTTTTATATGATTTCATCTTGATTTAGATCAATTATTTTATTAATTGCTTTTTTTCTTGATGTTTTTATAAAAAGTAAAAAAAAAGTATAATAAATAAATAAAATTAATAAAAAAAGAATTTAATCATTTCTAGTTTATTTATTACATACAAAAAAAGGTAATATATGATTTAAATCTACAAGTGTTGATGATGGAATACCAATTTGTTTTTCACCCATATACTCTATTAAATTATAATTTCGACTGTTAAAAACATTAAATTTATTAATGGTAATTTTAAAGGGCAATATAATATTTATTTTATTTTCATTATCATCATTATTAAAGTTTCTTTTATTTTCTTCAAAAACTAAATCATAATCAATTTTTAGAAAAAATACTAAAAATAAAATAAAAAAAATTATTTATACTTTTATATATTATAGTAAAAAATAAAATATGATGATAATACTTGTTGTAATTTTATTATTTTTTTTTTAACAGATTATATAAGATATACAAAAAGAGAATGAAACACTAAACACAATGCATAAAAAAATAAAAATTCAATAAAAAAATTAAAAAAAATGTGTATATTTAAATGGGTATAACCAATTATGTATATTTTATTATTTTTTTCAAAAAATAAATCAATTGCAAAATGTTATTTTTAGATTTTTTTAAAATTTTTTTTTTTTTTAAATTTTTTTTTTGGCTGTGCTGTGTGGTATATTTTTTTTTTAAGTCGGGGGTGAGTTAGTGCTACATCTGATTGGATATTAGAAAGTGGTTCTAAATCAGTTGATAATATTTTTTATTAATATTATTTTTTTAATTATATTTTTGCCCCATTTTTTTTTTTGTATGGTGAATAAAAAATACCATTATTTATTTTTAAATAAAAAAATTAAAAAACTTATTAACTCACAAAAAACCAATTAATATAATTAACATATAATAAATAAAAATAAATAATTTTCTTAAAATTAATAAATAAATAAACTGTACAGTAAATCTAAAAAAATAAAAAAATAAATCATAAAAAAAAAATTAAAAAAAATTAAAAAAAAAAATCAATTAATTTTTTAATTAGAAAATGGAGAAAAGAAAAATAAATGATGGTGATAATATAAACAATAATCCCAATAAAAAAGTTAATAATTTAAATAATAATTTTGATAATAATAATAATAATAATAATAATAATAATAATAATAATAATAATGTAAAAAATATAGATTATCAAGATACAGATGCCATGAAAACAAACAAAGTAAAACACATCATCGAACCAAAAATAAAAAACCTATTAAATTATGATGATGATGATGATAATAATAATAACAATAACAATAATAATAATAATAATAATAATAATAATAATAATAATAATACCTCTGAAAATTCAATATATAAAAGATTCAAATCAATAACCTATTCAGAAACCAATATTCAAGAAATAAATGATTTTGCAAAGGAATGTGGTATACCAACTGAAGGAGTAGAGACTATAGAATTGTATAAAAGGATTAAAAAGAAATTAAAATATTTAAATAAGATAGAGGAAGAAGAAAGACGAAACAATAATTTGAATCCTTTTAGAGAGAATCAGCAGCTAAAAATTACAGATATTAGCGTATTAGAAAAATTTTTTTGGTGTGTTTTTAGAAATAAATTTTTATTCAAAGAGATATTTTCGTGGCTACAAACAAAAATCAATACTTATGAAAATCTATATAAAATTTCAGATATTATGAATAACTATAGCAATGGGTGGGAAATTTTAAGAGATAAAATCAAGGGTAACAAATACTTATATTTCGGCCATAGTTTTGCTTCATCAAATATGACTCATATCTACATGAATAAAGCTTTCAAGGTAAAATCAGAAGCCAATAAAATGTTTTTTACACAATTGTACCTCAAGTACGAATTTTTTAAAGATCATGAACAGTCTTTTTCCGATCTTATAAGAAGCGGAAACATATTTGCAATGGATATCTATATAAAGGTCAAGAAATTCCATTATAGTGATGTGCAAGAAATTATTGCTTATCTAGTAGATATCAATCCTCTCGATTTCAATTTGAAGTTTTATCATGACTACAAAACAATTAATTATCTCATTGATAATAACTACTTTCCAAAGAGAACGGATGTAAATTACAGTTATATAAACTTTCTTGATAGGTCTTTTAAATTAAAACATTTGATAAAGGCAATAAAGGTTCTTATAAAACTCAAATATAAAGCTGGTGGTTTATCTTTAAACTCAGAACACAGCGAAAAATCTCGTGTATATACCCCAATCCAAAAAAAAAGAAAAGAAAATGTTTTCGGTGAACTTACCCAACCAGATAGACCATTTTACTTTTATTTTAAAAAAAATAAAACATTAACTGATCATCTCATATTCACCGTTACTAGGGTAAAGATGTACCAATTTCAAGAGGGTGGTGAAGACTCTGATGAAGACCCTGTTGAAGACCCTGTTGAAGCCTCTGATGAAGACTCTGATGAAGCCTCTGATGAAGAAGGTGACGAAGACACTGGTGAAGTTTTATATGAAGGCCCTGATGAAGATACTGCTGATGAAATATTAAAAGAATTTTCAAAAAATAGAGAATCGAAAATGAAAAAAGTAGTGGTTTATAATCGTCAGTTTATTAATGGGCTTCAAGAATTAAATGAATTATTATCATTTAATTTTTCAGATATTCAATTAGATACCAGTATTCAAGATAATGTATTATTAGAATATTATTATTCAAATTCTTTAAATAATGAAGAGCTTTTAGATATGGAGTATTTTAAAGGAAATCGTGTTTTGGATCTTTTAAAATCGGAACAAATATCTACTTTGGTAATCAATAGTTCAAAATATAAAACTGTAATCAAAGAATTGTTTAAGCAGTATTTATACGCAATCAACATATTTGATGAAAAACCACAATTGTATTATTTTTTATTCAAAGAAAACAAGGATATGGTAGAATTGGCAAGAAAAAAAAAATGGGAAGTCACACGTCTATTTGATCATTTTTTCAAAATTTGTAGTGTTAGAAGCAAAGATTTTCAAAATAGTTTCATCTTAAGGTATCTCCAAGAGAAGGGTCCACTATCAGATGAGATATTAGAGTACATTTTCCACAACAACAACATAGATGACATCGAATACTTTGTAAATTTAAGTGGAGATCCTATATCCTTTTTTAACAGTAACAAAGATATAATATTACCTACAATTCGGTCAACAAAGTTTTTGGATCATTTATATAAAAAATATCAAAAAGAATTTTTTGATAATAAAAATCAATGCTGGCAAGCCATTACCGACAGTAAAGTGCTTCAACACTATGAAATTCTTATGAAGGGTTTGGGTCATGTGTTCTATTTGGAAGATCAATTTGGTGACGAAAATTCCACTTTTTTGGCCCATAACATCGCAAAAGCATTAAAAAGCCCATATATTTATGAAGTTTCACCAACATTAAGATTTTCAAATTTTAAAGAATCATGGCAAAAGTTAATATGTGAAAATAAGCAATCACTATTAATTCAAATATTAAAATCATTCAAGTTTAGCAAAATCGATTTAACAGATCTACTTCATTCCGAAAACGACGAATTGTATATAAAATTCAAACCATACATGCTTTTAAATTGGATATTAAGTTCATATGGTGGCCCAAATGGTAAAGAGTACCCAATATTAGATCCAGTAGAGCCCGATGGTTTTATTGAAGTCCACAAAGAAATTTCAAAAGATTATACACTGATTGTAGAGTTTACTTCTCATGATTTTTTAATTTTTTTATGTTTGTGTAGCCGTTTTGATGATGCTTTCAATTTAGTTGGTGATAAAGTTGAAGTATACAAAAACAGTTTTTATCTACTAGTATTGAAAAATTCAAAAGATTTTTCCAAAGTCTTTATTCAGTATTATTGCGAAAATAAAATCAATCAAAAACTCTATTTTGAAGTTCTATTATTTATACTTCAACAAGAAGCAAAGAATGGAAATGTACCATTTTTCAATTTAATAATTTTAAAATACCCCCAAATTATCAAACCCAAAGATTCAACAGATGGCTTCTTAAGCATGGATGATTTAATAATCATTGCAGAGCATGCAGTTCAATCATTCGATATTACCCTTTTAAATTTATTTAAAAGTTTTATTCCTTTTAAAGAAAAAAGAATTAAGTATTTTAATGTTATATACGAAGAAGCAAAAACTATAACCCGTAAGGAATATGATAGTTTTTTTTCTGAATAAAAAAAAATAAATAAAAAAATATATTTTTAATTAACAAGATTTTAGTTTTATTGTTTTTTTATAAAAAAATAAAATAAATTTTTACAAACGAGAATTTAAAAGTTTAATTTAAAAGTTTAATATTAAAAAGTTTGATATTAAATAGTTTATTTGTTAAATTAATTAATAAATTGATAAAAAACTTCGTTTAGAAAATCTAAAAAATCTGTATTTGAATTTGAAACAATTATTGATTTTAAATTATAAAAATTATAAACTATTTCATCTGGATTGTTATATGTTGGTGCTTTGATTTTTGTTCTAGAGTTGTTTATAATTAATGTTTCTAATTGCTGAAAATCTTCTAAATTAATTTCTTCTTTAAAGCCAAATCCATATATTGATAATGTTTTAATTTTATTATTTCTAGGGAGATCCTGTGCTAATAGTGGTTGGTTTTTTGTAAAATAAATTTCTAAATATTCTAAATTATAAAAATCTTGTAGCTTATAGTCTTGTAGTTTGTTATCAGAGAAGGGAATGTGTATTTTTTTGATAATTCCCGGATTTGATCTAAAATGACTTAAATAGATATCTAGACCATACACTTTGACCATTATATTTGGATTGTCTCTGTTTGGGAAATCAATTCTATGTTCATAGAGGTAGTTGTTTATCTGTAGCAATTCAACACTAGAGGGTATTGATTCTGGCTCTATTATTTGATTAAACTGATGGCTTAGAATAACAGTCTTTAAATTACCTGATTTTGGCAGCGAGTTCCCCAGAGGCTGATTAAATTCTGACCCAAAATTAATATAGGTTAAAGTTTGTGGAAATATATTATCATCCAGTGGAAATCCACCATTATTATATAGACCAATCGATGAAAATGATAATGATGTGAGCGATAGCGGAAGTTGATAGTGGAGGATCCTTTGGTTAAAACCTTTATAACAGTCTTCGATATCTGCAATAGTATACTGAAATTCTAACTTTTCAATTGAGTTTGATAAAATTGATAAACCAGATGAATCGATAATTTGGCTACATTGGATCATTAATGATTTAACTTTATTTGGTATGATCTTTTTTGTTAGTTGGGATTGCTTGGTGGATGAATGAATGTTGAGTAATTGTAATGAACATGGAAGTGCTATCGATTCTATAATATTTTCGTCTAACTCTGATTTTGTAAATAGATTAAATTCTTTTAAATTATCTGGTAGCTTTATATCGTTAAATTGATTGATGGCCAATGTTAGTTTTGAAAGTGAATTTGGGAAGGAGATCTGTTCGAAATTATTAGTTAACTGAATATCGCAGTTGAATGGGAAAAAAAGCTCTTCTAAACTATCTGGCAAGATACTTGTATTAAGTGTGACTTGTTTATTGAATACTCTAAGCATTAATAGTGATTTGGGTAGTGAGTCAGTTTCAAAGCAGTCACAAAGAGTTGGGCTCTCAATAAACTTTATATCCAGCTGTTTTAAATTTGGAGGCAGCACACCTTTTCTTATCTGATATCCATAGGGATCCAATTTTAGACATGTTAGTGATGGAGGTAATAGATTTGGTGGTAATTCTTGTTCATTAATTTCCCAATTTTTGTAGAGCCTTAATCTTTCTAGCTTTATGGCGGGTGATGAATTAAATATTTGCATTAAAGTCTCGATTCTTTGATATTCCATATCTAGTGATTTAAGCCATTGTGGAATCACTCTGAATGTATAAGACCCCAAGAGTAACGACTCTATATTCATTGGCAAGCTTTCTAATGATACGTTTTCATTTAATGTATAGTTTTCGAGTACCAATCTATTTAAAAAAGGTTTGAATTTATAATTTCTAAAAGAATCTATTGAATGGAAAACTCTTTGATAGTTGAATATTTTAAAAACTCTAAGAAAAAAAAGTATTTTTTTTCTTAAAAAAATATTACTCCAAACAAGATTGAAATTATATGTATTATTTATAATTTTATCTTTCATTATTACTATTACTATTCTATTAATTATTAATTATTACTTTTTGTCATGACAAAGTATACTCTAGTAATCTATTTTTTTTTTTTTTTTTTTTTATTACATTTCCAAAACAATGTAATTTAAAAAATATTTATTATTATTATATGCTGGTTATATATTGATTCATTATTTAATATTGATGTGTCAGTATGGAAATTTGTTGTGGGGGAAAACAAAATAAATTAAAAAAATAAAATTAAAAAATATAAAAATTAAAAAAAAAAATTAATTAAAAAAAAAAAGAAAAAATAAAGAAAAAAATCTAAAAAAGAAATAATCTATTTTTTTATTATACTAATTTTATTAATATTTCATTTATTTAGATCATCTATATATTAATAACAAATTGGTTTTTATCTATCAATAAAATTTGTTGAAATTGGCTTTTATTGTTTTTATCTCTATAAAATTTCTTTTTAAAAAAAAAAATTAAAAAAAATGATCCAAATGAATTTTGGTCACAATCTAAAATAAAATATAAGAAATTATGTTTATTTAAATGGAATTTAATAGTTATTAAAATATAAAAAATTTTTTTAAAAGGTGAATGAGAATTTAATCAAGAGATTCTGATAGACCTAAATCTAATAGATTTTTATTGATTTCTACAATATCTTTTTTGGCTTGTTCTAATCTGTTCTTTGTTTCATAAGAAACCTCTATTAAATCTTGAAGGTTAAACATTCTTTTAAAAGGAGATGGAACATTAAAAGAATTGGTGCAATTATTTTTGTAGTGTCCATGAATACATTCTTTACAATAAATTTCATAGTTAAAACTTGCATCATTATATGGTAAAATCAAAGGATCATTTACCATTTGATGACAAATATTACAAAATATTTTATTGAAATCTAATTGTTTATCCTTTAAATTTGTTAGGTTTTGGATAAGTTTTGTAGAAATTTCTTTATTTTCTCCCAAATTTGCAATTTTAACCATTGTACCAATGATTTTTTCTAATTCTTCTAATTGTTGAATGGCCTCTTTAGTTTCTTTATAACTTATTTTTGAAGTTAAAATTACACCTGTAACACCTCCTAATATAGAACCCACACCAATGGAAAGTGCAGCAACTCCAGCCGCAATACCGACTATTGACATACCACAGGTAATAGGAGAAAGGACAACTCCCACTACTAATAGAGTCGTGCCAGCTAAAATGGCACCACCAGACACCAAAGCTTTACAAATTTTTTCAATTCTATCCATTTTTTTTTTTTTTAAAAAATAATCCTTCCCATTTTTTTCCCGCACATGAACAATTTTGCTAGAATTAGTTCCAAATAATTCTTCTGAAATTATTTTGATTTTTGTTAATTCCCCAATCACCATACCACATTTTCTAAGATCATCAAAATCATTTTTTTCATACTTAAACTTTAAAACTTCTCCATCAATTTTATGTTTTTCCATAATTTTAATATGTTTTGGATCTATTTTTTTAGATTTAAAAAAATTTGAAACTTTTGTTACATCCCAGTTAATAGGTGGGTCTTCTATTTTTGTACCTTCTTTAATGCTTTTTAAACCTTCTACTGCTCCATTTTGTAGATCTTGATGTTTTTCTTTTATTTCCTGGATGAAATCTAAAATATCTTGATTAGTTTTGGGTTGATATTTTTCATCAGAGCATCTATCATTTAAATTAATTAGAGATTTTACGAATTCTATATAGAATTTATCTAAACTTTCAAAAGTAGTTATGTGACCTTTTAATGAATTCTTTAAGTTTTGCAATACTCATATTTCTTGAATACTCTCGCTCTAATAAATTAGATAGGTATTTTCCATAGTCCTAATGAAGAAATAATTAATATTTAATATTTATAAAATAAATTGATAAAAAATCA